TACCTGGAGGCCTGGGGGACTTGGTAAGTAGCTTATAAGTAGAGTGTAATTGTGGCAACTCCATTTAGGGTACTTATAACCCTATTTACAACCTACTACGTCCCCTCGGCCTCTAAGTTCCTACTTGTCGAGTATCATGGGGAACTAAAGGTTAACCTTTTTCGTTACATAGGGATTATATAGGGACTATACTACCCATAAAAGGCAAAAGGTTGCCTACTCTACTACTAGGTCAAGTAAGCCTCAAACCCTAAACCATAAACCCAAGCCTCTCAGCCCCCAATCCAAGCCCCAAGCCCTACCTATGGTATTTTGGGGATTCCGTATCATAGTTATAGTATAATGGGCACTATTTTGATTATTAAAGCCCCAAGCCCTAAGCCTCAACCGAACCCCATCGCGCAACCTTCTGCAAGGCCCCTCCGGGAAGGTCGCCACCCAGAGCCTTCGGGTGGAGACGGTGGGGGTTTTTGATGTTTGGGGTGGAGCGGTTTTGGGCTTAGGGTTTCGCTGGTTTAGGGTTTCGGTGGCTTAGGGCTTCGGTGGTTTAGGGTTTCGGTGGCTTAGGGCTTAGGGTTATGACAATCGGAACTCTGCGAAACTCACTGCCCACCTACCTTTGCCCCTCGCCTATAGGAAAGAGCTTTTCTTCCGAGTTCGATGAGGGGTTCAAGCCTGAAGTATTCGTGCTGAGGATGGCGGCTTCCACGGGATCAGGCTACCCCTAAACCCTAAACCTTTGTGGAACACGGGCTCGTCGACAAAGGACCCTCGACCCTCACCCCCTGCCAACCAAAATGCTGCAGGGATCCACCTCGACGATCGCCAGCTCTATGCCAGAGACCCCCCAAACCATCAAAGGGGGCTCATGTCGTCGAAATACAGCTGTCCAAGATAGGGTCATGTGCATATACCCTAAAGATCCGTAAAGCATATAGTTCCCTGTTATGATGACTTAGAGTAGGCTGCATGCCCTGTGGACTAAGCCTCGGGTGTTGAACAGTTGCCGAGGCCCTGGCCCAAGAGGAGGTGCCGTCGCCCAGCTTGGAATCCAAGCCTCCCAGCTGGGTTCTGGGCTTAGGAAAATTTTATGTCAAGTTTGATTTAGCATTTCGGGAGTGTAAGCCCATGAATTTAGTACACGGACAATTAGACTGGGCCTGGGCAGTACATGAAAGTAGGATGAAACTGAGTCATTTTGAGGCACTGGTTCAGGCTTCGATCTGCACTGCGTGATTCCTATGTCCTACAATAGTGATTCCCGCAACAAAAATATGTTGCCTCGTGCTTCAAGACCTTTATGGTTGTGGGTGTAAGTCTTCGAATTATAGTTCCTATCTCTTATGGTAAGAGTGTGATGACGATCCATGATCATTGCGGCCGTGTTTCCTTGTCGTTGTAGTGGTACACTGCTACGTTACATGGTTTGGCAATAGCTGGAGGATTCCAGAGTCTATGGCTACGGGCGTCAGGCAGCATGGAGGCCGTACCGCACCGTCCTGAAACCCCAAACCCCACCATCTCAGCCACAGGCCCAAACCCTAAACCGAATACCCATCTGATTTGACGTGACTTTCAAGCCTAACTGCTAAGCCCAAAGCCAATCCATTTAATTAAACCCTGAAGCCTGACCCTAACCCAACACCCTAAAGCCCTACATATAAACTCTCCAGCCCTCTATGCCCCGAGACCTGCCTGCCTCAAAGCCCCCAATGGCCCTCAACGACGCAAGCCCTAAAACGTCTGAGCTTCCGGCGCTGGCCGTTCAGGTCTAAGGCCACGCCCACGAAAGCCGATCTGGAGGTAGTGCCGGGTTCAAGCCTTGCCCAGAGCTCGCAATACCCCTAAATTAAGGGCATATACCTTAAATTATAAGAGGATCCCTTTTTTTATGATTTCAGGTATACTCCTTAAGTAAGGGATATTGGGTTCTCTGGGTGCAGCTTCAGCATTTTAAGGGCTTCTTCAAGGAAACCTTTGAGGGTACCTTTCAGGATTCCTTCAATTACTAGACCCAAGAGTAGCCTAGGAATAAAAAGGGTGCCCTTTTTGGTTTAAAGGGGGGGTTATAAGGGAACCGGAACCCCCCAAAAACGGGAATAAGGGCCTACTCTAGGTCCTAGATTAAGGGCTTTTTGGGGGCTCCAGGGGGCTGGGACTTGAAGCTCTTTCGCTCTGCGGCTTTACGGTTTGCCGCTTTAGGGTTTAGGGTTTAGGGTTTAGGCTTGGAGGGCCAAAGTGTAGAGGGTTTTGCAGCCTTTGGTTGCAGAAAGGGCTTTCAGGGTTTAGGGGCTCTGTAGAATCCCAGGGTTTACAGTTCAGTTGTTTGAGTTTTGAAGGCAAAGGGGGCTTCTGTTACGGGCTCTGGGATGTCAGCTTCGGAATTCAGGTTTTCACCCTTTGCAACATCATCTCTTATTCTTTTTCTACTTCCAGCGCTCCTACTACGACTTGTCACTCTTGCGGTCGTTCTCATGGTGATCGCGGACTATCAGTAAAACCAAAAGCACCAACAACACCATAAATACAAAAACAAAAGAATCAACAACCACCAAAAAAGCAAAACTACCAATACTACAAACGACTGTTCTCTCCCCGCTGCCGGATGTTGATCCCCGCAAGAATACATTCGGGCTCCCGGCACCCGAATCTCCCAGTAGGCGGCATCCTGCTCGATCACGGTGCCAGCCAGCCTTCTCAAGACTTCTTTGCTTTGCCTCTTCTCACCCTTGAGGGGAACCCTGGGCCCTTAAACCCTATACCCCTAAAGAAGCCCCTAAAGGTTGATGCGCTAGGAATGCACCGACTGATGACATGCTTACAAGCTCCAGATCTTAGGCAAACATGGTTCCGCGATTTGGCAACTTTGCGCCGTCAGCTCACTGCAGAAAACTGTCTGGTTCGTGGTAAGGAATGTGGCAATGGGTTATTGGGACTACTATTGCGGATTATATAGTGACTATCCTAGGGATCCATTCCCCCATTCCCTACTGAGCACCAGACAGAAAAGGTCGTTGCACGAATCGGCAGTGCGCTTCCAGTATCCCTTCAGTACTATGCGAGAATCACACAGCCCCTCCCCCCTTTCAAGGTCTTGCTGCTAGTAGTAGTAGTAGTAGTAGTAGTAGTAGTAGTAGTAGTAGTAGTAGTAGTAGTAGTAGTAGTAGTAGTAGTACTAGTAGTAGTACTAGTAGTAGTAGTAGTAGTAGTAGTAGTAGTAGTAGTAGTAGTAGTAGTAGTAGTCGAAATCTAAACCAGGTCTTCGGCGAGGACCGAGGCCCTCACGCGACTCCTTTGCCAGTGAGGAGAATGCCAGTCGCGTCTTGAGACACCTTCATCTGATACTCTGCACCATGAAAGCTCAGGATTTGTTGTTCGAGCCTTAGAGTTCAAGCTGCGTGATCCAGGGATGTTCTGTGGGTGTCTTCTGCGGCTCCTAACACCGCAGCTTACAGACAATGTCCACCAAATCCACGAAAACTCCTCGTATTGCTTGGCTTCGAGACTGACTGGAACCTTCAAAGCCCTTCGAGTTGCTCTGGCGGCGCGCCAATAGACATGTAGGGTTTAGGTATGGTGTTTTGTGGCATAGTATTGGTGTACTATTCTAGGTACCCGGAACGCTAGCATTATCAGACTCATGTATTTACAAAGCAGCTCATGAGGCGGTTCAGTGTTTCGGGTTTAAGGCTTGCCGAACCAGCTATGGCATGGCTGGGGATATCGCGGCTTCTTCGCGGATAAACTCTGTATTGCATGATGCTACTACAAAGGGGCTCCTGTTTACCACAACCTCTTGAGGGCTGTTTGCGCAAGCTTTCTGAGAGCCTCGTTAATTATGGTGATCCACTGAAAGCTCTGTGACAAGTTTCTTCGATTCAGGCTATAACCAGGCTGAGGGTGTGGGGTTTTAACAACGGTTCTGCAGGGTTGCGGAACTGCCAGGGTTCTGCACGGGCGTCTGTAGAGTTCTGTGAGGTTCTAAGGCACTTGGAGGATGACGGGACTTAGTAAGCATGGCTGTAATAATACCCTAAATTGAGTTTTCAGTAAGTATAACCATAACTATAGTTACCTTATTTAGAACCCCAAGTTGCCAAGTCCCATCATCCAACAAGTAGGGTGGGTTGGCTTCGCCAAGGTCGTTTGGATAAAACCCGTCGCGCCGGCCTTGACTTGGCCGCCACGTTTGCCGACTTGGACTTTCGGTGGTGGCGCCTTTTGCCAGGTGGAAGGTTGGGGCTATATTTTAGCGGTAGTTCAAGGTTTCGGGTTTAGGGGTTTGGGGCTTAAGGAAAGCGCTATACTAGCATGATTCATGAATGTGGCTATGTTTGTTTCTATGTTGATGGTTACTTCTAAAATAATAATGGTGATTCGTGATTGTCGTCTATGAGCTCAGTGGTGCGAGGTCTGAAAGCGGTCCAAACCCTCATGAAGCCGAAGTTTATGCACTGGGTCTGGGCTCCTGTATTGTGTAGACACAGGAATGATACCATCCCTTAACCCTACCTGTGGATCCTAGAACCTACAAAATAAGCGGTTCTATATTGACACCCGAGGTTTCGAAGCATTCTGACGTAGACCCCGTGTCTTGTTATAAAACCCCGGGTTTGGTAGGGCATTCTTAGAAACCCCATTAAATGACTTCCCGAACGACCAATAACAACCTCCAAACAAATCTGATCCCAGGCCTTCATGCCGGCTCAGAGAGAGAGGCGATGGGTAGGACAAGAATTGGGTCGATGTAAGGCCACACGACATGTCAAGGGTTTAAACGGGCCCCTCAAGATCCTTATCAGATAGATTTCTCGGTCAGTGATGGCATCACTTGCCGTCAATGGCATCGGTGCGATTTTCGTGCCACAGCTGCGATCTCAGTTCCGGCAGGAAGCATTCAGGAGGGCAGTCAGTTTTCGATATCTTGCGATCTTGATGCAAAGTCCGCAAGTGAGTTGAGCTCAAGATTTGCCAGGCTCGTCGTAGGATCAGGACGAATCATGCCTCGCAATGCAAAGAAGGGTGCAAAGCCCTTCGCTGGTGAGGCGGCGGAGCCAGGATTGAACATAATCGGGATCCACACAGCTTGGGACTCGAGCCCCGATGTGAGGCAGAGGGTGCGCGATGGGTTTGGGCTGATGCATACTAATAGTGGACTCTCTTGCGACAACAATGTTTGCATTTTGAACTCCAACGTGCTGCTACCAGTGTTGCACACTATGCGTGACAGCCCGGACAGAAAGCTTCCTTCTGTGGGAGACCTCCGGTGCGAGATGACGCAGGCTTTTGCCGTGAACAAGCGTGTCGGCCCTGATGTCGCAGGGTGTGTTGCCAGCGAGGCGATACACGTCCGCAAGCTGCTGTCGCATGTCAAAGCGAAAGTGAGACGGGAGGAGGTGAGCCAGGTGTTCCGGTAGCACGTGATTAAACTTTTGGAAGGGTTCAGTCTTTCAGTTGGTACAGTTATTTAGGGTGTAACCTTATCGATTCTTATCACCAACCAACTCACGCCTCAGGATCCCACCTTCCAGGAGCTCTGCTTGGCTTTGGATCCGATGCTTCAGGCCGGCTTAGGGTGAGCTACTTCAAGTAAGATATTATATATAGGATTGCACGGCATATTGAAGGGAGCAGGATAGGAGTGTTGAACGACGGTTATCACCCCAATCTCCTTAAACAAGCCTTCAGACTCTCGATCGCTGCGGAATATGTCTGATATGGCTTTGCCTCTCTTTAAACCCACGGGCATTTTCACCGGAGGCGGTGGTCGATGCTGTCAACGAGCGCAAGGCGGAGAAGCACGGCACCTTTGAGGCCAGGGTTGCAACGGATTTCTGTTCTTCAATTCGATCGAAAAGTGATATATCATGGGTTTCGCTGGGCCTTCGCTATTTCCTCCTTCAATGTCCGGTTGCATTGATTCGCACTTTTTAATTTCGTTCATGCGCCAGGAGCCGGAACCGGCTGAGGATGAAGATGCCTACGACAATGATGATGATGATGAGGCCGAGGCCTCTGATCAGGAGGCCGACACGAACCCCGGAGATGTGAAGGACCCTGAGCCCAAACCTGGTGACAAAGGCTGCCCTGCTGTGCCCATTGGCTCCGAACACATTGCCAAAGAGTCCGTGGACTCCAATCAGAAGTCCCCTGACCAGAACGCCGTAGTTGCCAAGCGGAAGTCCCATGACCAGAACTCCGTGGACCCCGAGCAGAAGTCCCCTGACCAGAACACCGTAGTTGCCAAGCCGAAGTCCCCTGACCAGAACTCCGTGGACCCCGAGCAGAAGCCCCCTGACCAGATCCCAAGCCAGCGAAACAAGGCTGAGACGAAGCCCGGAGATGTGAGTTGCACCCCTGATCCCAAACCTGGATCCTTGAGACGGGCCAATTCCGATGCATCTATTATGTCGGGGGCATCAGAAGGATCAGACAAGGTTGCCTATATAGAATTCAAGTATGCAGGATTTGGGATTGCTTATTTCTATATACAGTTGGTATGTGGAGTGGGGGCAATTGATTAACCTCATTATCCTTCAGGTTCTTTCGCCGCCTGTACCCACGAAGCTGGCCTTCACGCCATCACCTGCTCCCGGAGGACGGCCTTTGTCGCATTTGTCAATCTGTATATGAACCATGCATGCAGTCCTTTCCTCATCCCAGTACACATAAATGTACTTACAGTCTCGGATAGATGATCGTATTCTAGATGTCACTGCCCTCCTGAAAGAGGACGCTTATCAGCTGGGAATCGTGAAGAGATGCTGGCTCGGGTTGCAGCTTTGAAGACCAGGCTAGCATTGATACTTGGACCTAATCGGCATGATCTATGGTCACAATAGGGTTCGGGATGTATTTATGTATGCTGGTGTAAGATAACCTGGTATATTCTAATCAACCTGTCTATATATTCCCGTATCTCAGGATGCAGACTTCCAAAGAGCCCACTGAGAAGATCCCGGACAAGCCCATTGCCGACACTGTTGCAGGACTTTTCATACTCTTTATGTTTGACTGGTGCTTATCACAATTATGAGGTCAGGGAATAAGTATTCGGATAGTTTACCGGGTGCCAATGTGCAGGAACCTCTACGCATTCCTCCTTTAGCTGTGCTGGCGCTTCGGATGAAACACAGCCTTGGGATTGCATGGTCGGCACTTCAGCTGCCGAGGGTTGCTTCAAGCCAGGGCTCGCGAAGCCAGAGACGGAGGCCACAGCGCCGCCGCCGGAGGCCGCAGCGCCGCCGGAGGCCGCAGCGCCGCCGGAGGCCGCCGATGCAGAGCCTGCAGAAGGCTTCACTGAGAGCAACTCTGAGGCCAGTGGTTCAATTGGTTTATTAGAGATGTTCAATTTCCACAGCCTCCCCGATGTAAACCTGCAAAAGCCCTATAGGTGGAGAAGCCTGTGCTCATGAGACGAGATCAGTTGCTCTTGAGACAGAAAGTCAAGGGCCGCAAGAAACGTGGGCCAAAGGCCAAGGCAGGCAAGAAGGGCAGGGGTGTCAAGAGGTCGAAGTCCAAGCCGTTGTCCCCGTCAAAGCGGAGACGAGCAATCCTGAGGGAGAATGCCGAGGATCACGATGACAAGGACGATGAGCCCGAGAAGGACTCCTCCATCGAGAAGCCGAAAGCAAAGGCCAAGGCCAAAGCCAAGGCCAAAGCCAAGGCCAGCGCAAAACAGGCAGCGACCCCCAAAGCGAAGGCGAAAGCCAAAGCCAAGTGCAAGGCAGCTGCGGTGCCAAAAGGCAAAGCCAAGCCCAAGGGTGCCCCGAAAGCAAAGGCCAAGGGAAAGCCCGAGGAGAACGAGTCTGAGATCCCGAAAGCGAGAGGCGCGAAGAAGCTTTCGCCCCAGAAGGAGTTCCTCCTGAAGCCCGCGGCGCTTTGCATGTTTGAGGCTCTGGACTGGTACTTCGGAGTGAAGGATCCATCGGGGCTGAAGGACACGGTTGTGGAGTTCGCCAAGAAGTGGGGTTCCGGTTCCAATGATAGCAAATTCAAGCACAGCCTCAAGGCCGATTTGGACGAGATTTGGTACAGCGGCTACAACATGTACTGGAACAGACCTGCAGCCGGGCTCCTCCACAAGGAGTCTGGAAAGGAGCTGGGCTACTTTTCCATCCCGGCTACCCGAGGCTGCAATTGCTCATGGGGGCAGAAGATGGCTGTAGTAGCGAAGGCTGCTAGCATGTTCGGCAAGTATGCGGATTCTTTGATCTATGATGGCTATGTCGATTCGGCGAACCCGGATACCTCCAAGGACCTGGTTATCATGAGAAACATTTTCAAGTCCGTTGTTCAAGACTCCGTGAAAAAGCTCTCGGAGTCTGAGTAGGCTTTCCAGGCTTCACTGGGATAGGGCTGCAAGGCCACTGTATGTAGTGATCGATGGGAGTGCAACAGCGAAGCTGCTTGTGAGTGGTAGATCGATCTGACATGTGCAAGGCTTTAGTGCGGCACCTAGTGTAGGCATGGACCTGAGATGTTCCTGGGATCATATATAGTCTTACACTACATACTTCAACTCGTTTCCTGTCCTGGCTTTTACCTAGAACCCTATATACAGGTATGTCTTCTGCATGGGTTGTATGTATTTCAGATGTATATAGATTTGCTTCCGGTTGGGGAATAGCATCATCTTAGGGACAGGCTCAGATCAAGTCGTTTTGAGTTCCTTGGGACTCGTATGCAAACCCAAGCTTCTGGCCTGAGCGTGATTCCGTGCTCCAGAATCGCAGACAATCGCCGGCTGCCCGATAGCGCCGGGAAAAAAACCTGGGATGGGTTGCGAGCTTCACAGCATTTGTTTCTATTACGTCATTGCATCATAAATGAGGAGCCCAGCTTGAAAGCCTGCCAATGCAAGCATGCAATATCCCCCGAGCCTGACACTAACTCGTTTGTATAGACAACTCTACATAACCCCGAACCCGAAAACCGAAACTCCATTAACCCGCAGTATGTAAACCCCTTGTAACAACGCCGGCATTAAAAACCAACCCAACACCGACCCGAGCCGTGGCACCAACACTTCTTAAGTCACTCGTTCCAGTTGAGCTCGTTGTAGGCCTTAAGCTAATCGATTCGAAAAGTGTGTATTTTCCTGAGCAACTTTAAAACCTTAAATTCCCAAAATACCCCTTGTCTTCCAGGAACCACAAACACAACCCAAAACCTCAAAACAAAAATCAACCCCATTCTCGCCCAGGCCCGATCTGTGATGCCTCTCCTCCCTGGCGGCAGCCTCTGGAAGCACCGTGTGGCGCACACGAAGCAGCAGGGTGTTGCCGGCTTTTTAGTGATGCCTTTGATCTACTGGGAAGTGTCTGCGATTGCAAACGGTTTAACCGATTACCAGTGCTGCCGTTTTGGGACAGTTCATGCAGCAGCCGTCGACACAATCATTCATGGCAGGATATGCATCGTCGCAAGACATGAGCTCCGATGTCCGCCACATGTGCTTCAGCCGCTAAAGTGTCAATTGAAGAGCATCACCATTCGAGTTCTCACCCCTGTTGGGCCTTGACGGAGTGATGGCGGTCGACATCGATCTGCTTTCCTGGAGATTGAAACAGCTGAAAGCCCCGAAGGACTCACAAACGACGTGCCATCAACGGTATCAAACCGAATAGCCCCGCTGCCCTCAGGACTTCATATTGCTTGTGCTGCTCGTCATCTGGTCTACGGACACAGCCAAGCTTGAGCAGGCTGGGATGGCAGGGAGATGGTTTTCAACTTTTGTCCTTCGGTGCTTGGCAGGACTACACATTTCTCGAGTTCTTTGCTGGCCATGGAAATTTGCACAGGATGATGAGAGCAGCGGGTCGTTATAGGGCAGCTCGTTTCGATATCAGGGATGGGCCCCACAGTTCCAAGCAGTGCAAAAGCAACTACATGGACCTCAACTCGAGGAGTGGTTTTGCGAGCCTCGCTTAAATCTATCAGAACCACTTGTCCTCGTCAATCATAAGTGTATAGAGCGCCTGCACCATATTGTAACCTCGGCTTCCCGAACAACTCCGACTGAGTCTGGCAATCTTCTACATACTCAAGTTGGCTGGTGGTGATGCCTATGTTCACTTTGGCATGAAGTGCTCGTCATTCAGTTCGATGAATGCTGCTTCCAGTGGTCGTTCAGCCTGCAGTAGCACCGGCTTTGAGGAGCACGTGTCAGTGGCCTACTCGAATCAGCTGCTTGAGAGGAGGGATCTTCTGGTGCTATATACATTAGGATGATCGGGTTTCTGGGCTGATTAGGGTTTCTGGGCTTACACAGTCAGGGCCCAAGAAATTGTTGCCACCCTTCCTTTTCTCGTTACAGTAGTGCCTGGAGGACAATTTTACTTATCCTGCTGGCGACGGCAATGGATAGCACGTGGTCACTGGAGCAGCCGGGGGGATCGGTACTAGACTTCTATCCAGCCTGGAGAAGCATGATGATGGTTCTTTCAGATTGGGGAGGCCCTTATGCAGTCGCTTGAATATACTTCTTTGGGTTCCTACTTGGGGCTGATACGGAATGTAATGGAGATTGGTCTTATCAGGGTGGTTATATATAGGGTCTTTTACAGGATTAATATACGTAATTTATAACCCAGAATAAGACATCCCCTGCAAGATTCGCTAGCAGACCTACTGGCATCCGAGGTAAGCAAAGTTCGGTTTTGGATGGGGCACTTCGGCGCCAAAACGCCGAAACGGCACTATATGTATGCGAACAGCGTGAAGGTGAACCTCTTGAATAAAGGGAAGTTGTCCTTTGGTTTATTCAAGCACAACCAGAAAACCGCGAAGTACCACGTCGATGCCAATGGCATCAGGAGGTTTAGTGGAACGATGCATCTCCGTGATACCGAGTGCCTTCTCCCACATAGTCATTTTATCTTTCACTTTTGTTTTGTCTCGCTCTCTCTCTCTCTCTCTCTCGCTCGCTCGCTCGCTCTCTCTCTCTCTCTATCTCTCTCTGTCTCTCTCTTTCTCTCTGGTCTCTCCCTATATGGAGAAAACCTATCAACCCTAAGTACCCTAATAGGTTCAGCGGGTTGTCCTGGGTACACAAATCAGCGGGTTGCTCGAATTCCTATTGTAGATCGGTGCTTTCGAGTGGAACATGAGTAATTTCTTTGCATCCCTAAATAAACCCCACACCAAACACTTTGCATGGCGAAATTACAACTGAGGAATTTAATTCTAACACTTACATACAAAGCCCTTTATGGGGCTGCCTGTGTATCATTGGGTTCTATCCTTTGCAGGAAACTTCCCTTTAAGCCCAAAACCCCCAAGGCCAAAGATCCCAAAGCCAAATCCCGGACCCTCGAAGTCGCCCGAACCCTATTGAACCTTTAGACCTGCTTCCGAGGCAGTACCCAGTCGCATTCGCCAAGAACTTGGTGCAGATCTGCGAGAACCTGAAGAAGCATCGGGCAGGGTGTCCCCAGACTTCGGAAATTCCTTCGGCTTTAGATACATTGTCTTCGTTACCGTCGGACTACCACAGAGCGGAGTATGAGAATGCTGCTTTGTATGAAGTCTACAACTACTTGAGGGGTAGCAAAAGTTTAGCCATCCCGGAGGAATGGCGATGCATTCTGCCACCAGGGTTCCTGGGCTTCTAGAAAGGCTTTTCAAGGCACTCGGGACCGGCTCTCAATTGACTATATGTTCGGAGACCTTTATTAGAAAGTTGGTGTCATGTAAGGTAGGAGTAGCTCCTCGTTTTGCATAATAAATGATTATGAAGCCTTTCTGAAAGCCGGTGCCTTGTGTCGGGTTATGATGCTAAGCTTTTGGGACCTGGTTTGGGCTCTGCTGCTGTCAGGACTGGATGTCAGTTGTTGGCCAGTATGCAATACAATCCCGGTGGCTTTGTAAAGTTTGCTGAGTATATTACAGCAGAGGGTATAGTTGTGTTTGCGGGGTTCTGCGGGATCGGTTTCTTTTTTTAAGGAATTATGAAGGTTTTAGCGTTTTTTTCAGGAATTTTGCGGGCCGATTGGGATTTGGAGACATTGGGGGCCTGAAAGCGTGATTTAACCCGTGATTTGAAGTGATAAACCCCGGGTCTGAAGCCCTAAACCCCGGGTCTAGGTATCTTAAGTGACCCCTAAACCCTGGGTTTAGGTATGTTTAGGGTCGACCCCGGGTTTGCCCCAACCCGTGACAGACCCGTGATTTACCCGTGGCAGACCCGTGATTTAAGCGTGACGGCGTCATGGGTAAACCCCGGGTTTAGACTATGCATTGCATAACATAAATTTCAGGTCCCGGAACAAAAAATAAGCGCTCCAACCGAGTTTCGGCAGAGCCCTGAAGCAGCCGACGTGCTGCCAGACTCATGGATCATCCGAGCGCCGAATCGTGCTTGGAGCGACCACCTCGTGACTTTGGGAGCCGCTCTGAGGGGAAAGGAGAAGTTCCTTCCGGACTAGTGACCAGTGAGTTCACCTTCTTTTGTTTCGGTTGCTTTGCTCTTGCCAATGTATATACATGCTTCTCCGTCTCGTGAAGCATTTGCTTTTTCCAAGTAGGGTTGTGCCTGCTAGATATCATGGCTACCTCCGGTGTTTCGAAGCTATGGAGCTGTGAGTCTCTGAATATGGGGATTGCTGATGTCGGTGCCCGGTCGGCTCCTGCAACCGAAGAAGAAATTCTAGCAGAACTGCAGGACCAGATTGTGGGATTTCACGTTGCATGATTCGGGGGATGCTGTCAATGCAATTCAGGCTTCAGGCCACTCGTTTTGTGCTTGGAGGAGCTCGAAGCTGCTCTTGACGAGACTGCCGTCGGAGCCCCTGTATATTTAGCTTAAGAAGATGAACCGTCCCAACCTGTGCAACAAACCCCCAGTGCCAAGCAGGCCCAGCAACCCGCGATGGCTGCCGATCTCACCTCACCAGAGAACTCAGAGGCCGCCACACTTCCCGCCAATTCCTGAGTTGTAGCTGCTGTCCAATCCAGATTGTTGGGCTGCTATGTGCTCTCGGGGCTGTGTAAAGGAGGCTTCGACACAGGAGCTACAGGAGGCAGGGCTTGGGATTTACGCTCCGGCTCCCTCCGAAGCCCCTACCTTCGAAGATGCTGAACCATTGTCGCTGGTTGTAGAGGACCGCAGCATCGTATACAGATTTACACCATCAGCATGGCTTCATCGATCCCAAAAACCTTCAATTAAGTTCTATATATACTACGGGTTCAGGACCGTGGTGACAAGGAGGACGAGAATGATCTGCTGGACAATGATGCTTGTCAAAGTGTGGCTGATCGTGCAGGGTTGTGCTGGCTGATCATGCACATGTTGCATGACACGTTGATCTCAGGCTTCCCCAGCGGAGATTCTGGAGTTGTTGTCCGGTGTTCTGCTGAAGCCAGTAGAGGACGACCCCTATGATGTCTATGAATCCGACGACGACGACCTCGTGACACCGCCGCCACGAGATCGCACAAACCCCGACGACACCGACGAGAATGCATCCGCCAAGGCTCCGCAGAAGAAGGTGCCGACGCGACGTGCTCCTTAGAATAATCATATATAGGCCAAGCACATCTATGTCAAGCCGTCCAGTGGATCGCTTGTGTATGTGTCTTGTGCGATGCAAGGAAGCGCTGTTGCGGGCCGCAAAAGCCAGAATCGATCGGATGGTCAAAACCCATGCTAGACGGCAAGACCTCAACACGCCGGACTGGTTGAAAGAAGAGTGGCGCACGGGGGACAAGAACGCGATTGCACGAACGCTGCAAGATGTGAACTTTGATAAGGCCACTTTCTCGCATTAGCCCTGTATAAAGCAAGGCTGCCGTAGCACCCGGCCAAACCTAAAACAATCCCAGATCAGATAATTCGCACCCAGTGGCAAATCCCCCAAAGGCCCCACACCTAACGGACCTAACGCGACACCCTAGGAGACCCCCTTAAGTCATCTAACACTGGGTTGTATATTTGTAGAAGCCCAGACAAGTCGGCTCCATCCCGAATCCTATGTTAAGGACCCCAAAAAACCCCGTCAAATTTAGGACCCAACGTCGAAACTAACCGAAACTACCCGACATAGGAAAGGGGAAGCTCTGTATGTAACGCAAACCAGAATAATCTTTGTATCAGGGATTAGTCTAAAGCCCCAGCAACACTCTACATTGAATAGAATCCCATGCCTGTCTCTCTGCCCAGGCCGAGTTCCTCGTACGCATCAAGATCAACATCACCAAGAAGAACGAGAAGGAGATTTTGGTCGAGGAGGGCTTTTACTCCCGATCCGAGATGATTACTGATCTCGGCTGGTCCGAGACTCTTATCTGCATATATTCAACTTAAGAAAGCCACCCTCATGTCAGTTGAGTGTGTACACACTGTGCACTGCAAAGACTGAACATAAGGACTCGTGCGGACGGTGCGATAGCGCTTTGCATGAAGCGTGGGCCCGCCTACTACAGGCACGCATATCGAGGGTTTTGTTAGCCTCTCGTTTTTGACCCATTTAGATTTATCTAGGGAATTGCTCGAGTGCGAACCACTAGATAGATAAAGATGGCTGTGTATATAGCCCCCATGTAGGATATCTTCCTGGCCTTATATTGCAAAAAAGGTAAGTCCGGAGAACCTCAAATTATCTATTGGCCCTGCACTTTCAACCAAACCTAATCGAAGCTCCCAATTCCCAACCCCGAAACCCAACCATATGTAAACCCAAAAGACAACAAGCCTATGGTGAGGTTTAAGTGTAATCAACCCCATGCAAGCCAGCCGATTACGGCAAAGCACAGCCCAGCCGTACAGGAATCCTATATTAGCCCAAACTCAAACAACTCTTCTCGGTAGGACACAGAAAGCCCTGTATAGCGATCAACTCTCAAAATCCGAGCTCACCCAAGCAATTATTACTTATTTATCCACCAGGGATTTCAAACCCCCGCTTCGATCGTGCTTGATGCAGGCAGAACCAATATGACAACGAGTGGGAGTATTGGGTGAAAGTGAGGGAGACTGGCAAGAGGCGGCAGGCAGTCTCCTATGAGGAGACTGCCAAGAAGCATCGTGAGGCCGCAATAATGCTTTAAGACACCAACGGTTTGACTACGTATCGTGCATGCCAAGCCGCTGTGATAATGTATCAGCTCTGCATCCATCCAGGCGAACGAAGTGCCTGAAGACTTGCAGCAGATCGCCAATGATTTGGAGAACTTCGACATGCTTCAGGGTATGGAGATGCGAGCGAAGGACCCTGTGCCCCCGGCCATACAGGACCCTTCCGCCCACAAGCACGCCCAGGCCTATGCTAGCCAATGCCTTTGCATTCATGTATAGAATTGCCTTCATATATTGTTGAGTTCCGTGTTTGCAGACCAAAGAGAGCCTCGAGAAGTTCAGCAGCTCTGTGGTGACAAAACTGGGGAAACTTCGCTCCCTCATGAAAGATGTGCAAAAGAACTACGCGAACACCGATGATGTTGCCAAGCTCCCTGACCCTTTCACTGCCGCCTCGTATGTTCAAGACACCCATGTATGCACAAGTCAAACCTTCCAAAGCTTTGTATTTCGTGCCAACTAAGGGCTATCTCCTCTCTGGAGAAGGATGTCAAGGCGGTGGAGGCTCAGTACGATGGCATCACCGAGCTCAAAACCAAGATTGAGATGATGGGTATGAATGACGAGTTTTCCGGTTGCAGCGAGTTTTAGAGTTCTGTGTGGTGCGAAGCAGCTACGATTGTGCCCGACCGCTTCTATGTGCCATATACTTTGCGACCTGTATATACACAGCAAACTATAATCAACATGTGCAGCTGAGGTTCTACAAGCAGGCAGAGCAGCGCATCAAGGAAGCCACGCTGGTGTCCCTCGGCTTAACTCGGTTGCTTGCTAGAGACAGCCATCCTTCTGGAGCCCAACACATTAGCAGGTGTAGCAAAGCTGCTGCGACCGAGATGAAAATCAGGACTGCATGGGTGGCAACCAATAACTTTCTGATCGTTCTATTTATTAACTTATCTATAATCTCCGGCACTCGACAGGACAGCACGCAAGAGCTACGACAAGGGCGCCACGCCGAAGCAGGAGAAGCCTAAGGCTTCTGAAAAGGCCCCTGCAAAGGCCGTTGCAAAGCCTCCTGCAAAGAGGGGCTCGAGAGCCCCCAAAAGCAAAGCCACGAAGTGAGCTTGAAAGGATTTGGGGTGGGCACGGGCGAACCTGTGCTGATGTGCAATTAGGCTGCCATTGCGAATCCGTCGCACATGTGCAGGTATGCATACGTACACAAGACCAGTTCGGGGGCCCGTGCACAAAAGATTATTCTTGTGTGATCGCTACCTTTGCTGTATAAGCCCAGAACCCAGAAGCTTAAGCCTATGCAAACCAATTCGCTGAGCTGCCAGGTACGGCGGCTGGACACCTGGTCCGTGGTTTGAGCGCCGACATTGGCGAAGGAGCCCAAAGCTCAGAATGCCCATCCAATCTGTTCTGCATTGATAAACAGCTTGCTTCGAAGATTTGTGTGGGAAGCTTTTTTGGCTTGTCTCGTGGATGATTAGAAATGCAGTGTTTAGTCTGCTCTGGGCAATGGATGCTACAGCAGCTAACATAGAAAGCCCCGATGATGAGCTGTGGGACCTTCTTACTTGTCACCGTGACGATGCTAACCCTGCTCCTGGCACAATGTTTTGTTGTCGTTCTCATAATCTATATACATACCCTTGCGAACTCATGGTGCGAGAGCTTAGGAAACCGTTGCTCCATATCCCTGGGCCAAATCCTTCGACAAGATTGGTCCTGGTCCTTTCGAAAGTACACCGAACCGTGCAAAGCCAACTTTGAAGACCGACAAGATTGTTGCCAAGGTTCCTGTTACAACAGCTGAGCCCCGCATCAAGAGCATTGGGTGCTATAGCGACATGCGAAAAGCGCGAGATTTGGCTAAGTATCTCGAGGATTCGCCCAAGCTAGCCGAGATTTACAAAGAATGTCGTGCGATTCCGTGTATATCATTCAATTTGCCCCCCCGAGGAGCGACTGCTGGTAAGGCCTTGAAGCACTCGATATGCGAGGTGCACAAGCTGTTTAGCAAACACGAACCGCTCATATTCAAGTTCGGCTTCACACACAACCCGGCTTTTCGCTGGAAAAATCCAATATACGGATACAGCAAAGACCGGGACAAGTGGACCAACATGGAAATCTTGTTCCTGTCCACCGAACCATGTGGACCTGCAATGATGGAAGCATCCCTCATTGACAAGTTCTCCGGTCTCTTGGCAACATATGCAACACCACGCTATGAACGTATTACTCGGTTTATGTTCTGTTCGTAAACCAAACTGTATATACACACACCTTTACACAGCTGAGGCAGAGAAGGTTGTCGGAACATCAAATCTGGTGGGGACACAGTGGAAGCTTCCTCCTGCGATGACGACTCCCGGTATATGACCTACATAGTGTACAGGTCATTCAAGCATCCACCTGCTTCGACTCGCTGATATGCGATGCTTTCCAAGCTTTTCTTGTACAGAAATGATTTGCTCTGCTCTGGGGAATGAGTGTTAAAAATCTTTTCGCTGTGCGATCTGATGGATTCGGACATGTGCTGACTAATTGCTTGTAATCATTGAAAGACGTTCCGCTATGTGTGCCGAGGCCTCTTGCCGATCTGCCATCCGCACTGCCCGCAACGTGGTGAAAGACATCGGTGTGACCCAGGCTCGTGAAATAGGCGGCTTGCTACCGCTAGCAGGGCTGTCGCAAAACCACAGTGAAAGAGATTCTCATTCATTGCTTGTGAAGAAGCTGATGCTGTCATTGCCAATTCCGATGACTGAGACTTCCAGTGATTGCAAATCTGGTGCAAGGGACACGAAGCACAAGGGCCTTCTAAGGCTTAGCATCCGGGACTGGGCTCGGTATTTGCTGCAGACAAACAGCTGGCATACATTGGCCGGATTACGCAATCCGGATCCAAAGCGGGAGCAAAAGATTTGGAAAGCTTTCTGGGAAAACTACAAGCTTCACGATCCCCAACACTGGGTATTTAAAGCTGCAGAGGAAAAGAAGTTAGCATTGGAAAACACAGCAGCAATCGTGCTCCATGGGGATGAGGGGCGCGGTCGCCGCCGCCAAGCATTTTTTGTGCTGAGCTGGCATTCTTGTTTGGGACGAGGCTCCACTTTGGCTTTGAGAAATAAATCCCTGAAGAAGGTTCGCAAACCGTACTTGAAGATGGGGTTGAACCTGAAGGGCCACTCCTACACAACCAGATTCGTCACGGGAGTGTTGCCAAAAAGCCTTTATAGCGACAGTGACCAATCCTTTTTCGACCTTTTGGCTGCTGCCTATGATGATGCAAAGCTACTGAGCACTGAAGGTGTGCAATACGGCGCTGGAGAACGACGCTGGATGGTGATGCTACGAACAACTGGTGATTGGCCATTTTTGGCCAAAGCCGGGTGCTTGCAAAGGACCTTCGCCAATGCTGTGAAATCTGTTAATCAGGCATCGACTGGTGTATGTCATTTATGCGAAGCGGGGTTCCCGCACGCCCCACTTGAGCAAATTGGGACAAGGCGACCTTCGTGGATGCACACAGTGTCTGCTTCCTCGCCGTTCGGATCGTGGCCTGAAGCTGGTCGCATTCTTGACACCCATGAGCAGCTGGCTCAGCACTTCGCCTACGATATTTTCCATACATTTCATCTTGGTGTTGGGCGTACATTCCTGGGGAGCGTGATTGCACTTCTTTCTGATTTAGAAATTGGGAACATCGACCAGCGCTTTCAATGTCTTACCGAAAAATACCGCACCTGGTGTGCAAGCAACCACCGTTCGACGATCGTCACGAAACTTACCAAGGACCTTATCACGTGGGAAACCACGACGGACTACCCCAAAGGTGGATGGTACAAGGGGGCTTTGACCACCAATCTTATGGAATGGGTGGAATCGTTAGAGGGCACCACTACAGATCCTTTGTTGGTTTCCGCTTTTGAAGCGACGAAGAGCATCAACCGCTGTTTCCGCATCCTCTATGCCGAAGATGCATTTCTATCAGCCGACACGGCGAAGCTTACTGGTGAGCTAATCAGCCGCTTTTTACGCCGTTACGAGCATTTGGTTCGAGAGACGTATGAGATGGAGTGCACATTGTTTTCGGTACCTCCCAAAATACACCCCTTGCACCACTTCGCTTTGGATCTACTCAGGGCTGGACGTGCTGGACACCCAGGAATCAACCCATTGCTATGGTCGACACAGATGAGCGAGGACCTTGTGGGGCGCCCGTCCCGCCTTTCAAGGCGTGTCGGTACCCGATGTGTGGTGCAGAGAACTCTCCAACGCTACTTACAATCCGCTTATCGGGAGTGGGTGAAAGCAGGATTGCTCATAGAGTCGAAGCTGCCCTGACCAGGAAAAAATTTGAACTCTGTGTGTGGAGCGACAGTCAGCGAGCAATCATAAGCATCATTTGATTGTATAGAGCGAGCACTCATGCACTCATCGACAAGAAGATTTGTTCGAGATTGAACACTTTCGCATCTGTGCTAACATCTTTTCTTCGGACCCAGCTACTTTGAACACAAGACACATCATATCAAATTATCTTATCTCAAACCACAAATCCTTGAATTCTCTAAACCCGAGTTCTTGACATCAAACCCCGTGTTCAGCAGCCACGCCGAAATTATCTTCGGTTATGGGTTCCCTAGGTACACCTTAAACTACCTACCCACTGTACACCCTATAACCGTAAACCCTAGTTATACCGCGTGCGACGTGAGTTTGGAGACTGAATCTTTGAAACTGTGAGCCTCAGTCAGCTCAGTGACCCCAGTTCGGGATCTTCACAGAGCCAGGGTTGAAAGAGTCCTATCAGCGCCGACTACAGGGGTTCTAGACAGGTCTAGGAACTGGGTTTTTGCCTGAAACTCACTTCTCCGAACTTCGGGCAATCGGAAGAATGCTGCACATGGCAGACGCAAACCCAGGAACTGCCTTCAAGGCTTACTATAGAGGCCTTAATAATTAGACTAGGGTTGTCGTCTAATATACTATACTTAGACTAGGGTTGTCGGGTATAATATACTATAGTTACTATAGTTATAATTGTTATAATAGGACCCCCCCGAAATAGTCTAGGTATTTATCTAGGCCCCTATATTAGGCCAAGTGGCGAGGGTCGCTTCTTCCTCGTCAGCCTGCGGAACGCAGCTTCGCCCTTCTTTCCCGGGCGCTTAGTAGGGAATGGGGGAATGGATTGTGGGGACTACTACTGGGGATTATATAGGGACTACTGTAATGGGATCTATTCCCCCATTCCCTACTAAGAACCAGGGACTTCTGTTCGCCTAAACTGGGTTTCGACTTCGCTTGCCGGACCCTTAACTCCAAACCCTTCAACCTTAAGCCCCCACATCCTCAAACCCAAATCTCTAAACCCCTAAGGACCCTAAACGGCTCAGGGCTTTCGAAAGCTTGAGCTTCGGCCTCAAAACACGAAAGCAAAGACTGGTGGCGGAAATGCCCATGATGCAGGAAGTGGAAATAATTGCCAACATGCTTCTCCTATAATCCGTAAACCCTAAACTCTGATAATCCCTAACCCAAAACCCTAAACTCTTATAGCCCCTCAGCCTTAAACTCTTATAGCCCCCAAACCCTACAGGCCACGGTATGTTCTAAAAGGGCCTGCGGCTCGCAGCAGCAGAAGACACCGCCTTGGAGGACCAGGGTTCGGAGATTTTGGCTTAGGGTTTGGGGGCTTAGGGTTTTAGGGTTTTAGGGTTTAGGGTTTAGGGTTTTAGGGCTTTAGGGTTTTAGGGTTTTAGGGTTTTAGGGTTTTAGGGTTTAGGGTTTAGGGGTTAAGGGCTGGTAAGGCTTAGGCCTTTTTCTCAAAACTTTGTCCTTTTGAAGGCGGGTTTGGGGGCTTACGCGACTGTGAGACCCTCCTTCTACTTGTCGGGGCTCGTGTCTTTCTGGAGCCATCAACAGCCAGGAAGTTTCGAGTAGCTAATGCCGAAAACTGCTCGACTGTCTGGTGCTTAGTAGGGAATGGGGGAAGGGATCCCTTTTTGTTGTCCCTTTCATCCCCACATTCCCCCATTCCCTACTAAGAACCAGACAGTCAAGGGTTTTCGGCTTGCGTTTAAGGGCGGTTTAGTGGTTCGTGGGCTTAGACGGAAGGGTCAATCCGGAACACATAACATCCGAAGGCCCGGAATTTCCGGAGAGTTGAAAATGAGGGACTCTAGTTGTATCACCTGAACAGCACACCCAACTAGAGAAAGTACTGTATCCCCTAGTTCATTCAAGTGATACAGTTTAGGAGTTTACGACTTGGGCTTCATCATTCGGCGAGCCTTTCATAATGTAGGGGGCCTTTGTAGATTTCCTTGGGGCTCCTTCATAGTGTCATAGTTATAGTCCAATATGCACCAGTACCCTATTCCAATTTCCAAGGCCAGTATACTGAATTATTAGGTAAGTATTAGAAGGGGCCCCCACCCTGTAATAGTGGTAGAATAGGAATATAATAGGGCCCTAATATAATCCTTATAGTCACTATTACAGGGTGGGGGCAGCTTCTAAGGTAAGTAGCTCTTGTTAAACACTGGCTTAAGCTTTGAGCCCCAGCAATCCGAAGGACCCTAAACCCCTAGGGCCAGAGCCCATCCCTCTGTCGTGGAGGAAGCCTGCAACTCGCTTTAGGGCTGAGGATTCGAATAGAAAGATGCAGGGTTGAGCTTCAGGTGCACATAGTTTTGAGATTTGTGGGCGAGATTTTCAGGGTTCCAGAAACGAAGCTGGGGCATGCCCTAAAACCCTAAACCACGCAGCAAGCAGTGCCACGCACCCCAACGAGAATGCTCCCCACTCCTCGGCTGAACGCGAAGTCCTCATTTCGCCCAACAGTGGCGCTTCCGGTTTAGGGTTTGGGCTTTAGGGCGAAGAATCTGAATCCATTCTACAGGCTTGACTTCGCCCGGGGTCTTGATAACCTAGTGCGCAAAGCAACTCTGCATCCCCCGCTTTGCCCAAAACCTCGGTAGACAAACCGAACCAAAGGACCCGACACCCTAAACATCCCTAAACCCTACTTTGAATTCCATGACAGGCCTCAAGTCTCGCCCAGCAAGGGGAGCATACTCAAAACCGCTAGATGGCTTAAAGTTAGCCTTCAAGGGGTGGTTCCAGTAAGTGGGGGACACACGAGCATCCCTTGAATCGGAAAGTCTCAAGCAGCACAGCACAAAGAGCGCCTTCTGCAGCGGTCTGTTTGGTGAAACGAAGATGCCCTTGATCCCTAACCACCAAACTTCAGTACACAAATCCTGAATCACATTGGAGCTGACAGCTGAGAATTCTCACTCATTGGTTAGAGCTAAAATGGGCTAGAAATCTTAAACTTTCATCCGCTCCAAATCATGCTCAAAAGGCCGGGATGCATGCTTTACTTCAGCTTGCCAAAGCCTGAACCGTCTGAAGCGTCCTATGCCGATCCCATCGTTATAGAGCATGCTATAGCA